TATATATATATATATATATATATATATATATGTATGTATAGTTTTTTAGAATGAAAATTGTTCATGTTAAAAAATTATAATTTGAAGGTAGGCAACCAATTCTAAAATCGAAGGGTGCAAATTGAAAATTCATGTAATTTTTTGGGGTGCAAAAGGCAATTCAGCCGCCAACACGAGTTGACACCTGGAAAATCTTTATGAGGCTATACGAAGAAAATCTTGTTTATTCTTTTCCAACGCACAAAGAAAAGCATTATTATATTCCAAAGCAGATTTTGTTATAATGGCAAACATTTTTAATTTATTTCCTCTATGTGCACGACCAAAGGTCACTATGTAAAAAAACAGTGTTCTAAATATCGGTCGTGGCGGCCGATATATCGGCCGCCATATCGGTATCGGTTATAAACATTTACGATTTTGTTGAGGCGGTTTGGAATATCGGTTTTTTACGGCGAGGCGGTTTGCGGCGGTTTTTTGGCGGGTCAAACCGATATATCGGTCAACAAATCGGTTTTTTTTTTTTTTTTTAATTTAAATTAAAATAAAAATATGTTTTGATTTTTTGTTTTTCTCCAATTTTTTCAACTTCCAAAACCAAACCAAGTACTACCCCGCAATTTATGCTTTGTTGTGTTTATATTAATTGTTGATGCGAAAGACTTGCGTGGTATTTGTATTTCGTAAGAATCTTTTATCATATTATGATCTTATTATTTTTAAATTTTTGTTATTTATTGAGTAATTAGAATTATATAATAACATATGAATGATAGGATAGAATTATGTTTAAATATTTTTTTATATATATTTTGAGTATTTACAAATATTTTTTTAGAAATATATTACACTAAATTTAAAAACCGATATATTTCCGATTTATCTCCGATAAATCACCGCCGCGCCGATTTATCGTGTAGCGGTCCCAAACCGCCACGTACCCGATAACCGCCTTTTAGAACCTTGGTAAAAAGACACCTCCCATTACTACCAAACTTGAAAAAAATATGAGAAATTCAAAGAAATTCAGAATCCATTCATCTCTGGAATAAAGGCAGCTGGTATTCAATACTTTATCTCCACATTAAATTTCTCTCCTATCTACATTCATTCATTGTCTTTTTTACCCACAGCTAGCACACCCCTCCTCCTTTCTGCGTGCTATATATATAATGCACTCACTCACTCAACACTCTCATATTTCATTACCCATCATCATAGTTAATCATCTGTTAATCACTGTGTGTACTGTGTGTAATTAGCATTCCTTTTTCTTTTCTTTTTTAAATTAAGTATGGAGTTAACATCTGCTCTTGCATGGCTAACAACATGTTTGCTTCTAACCCTAACTTCTTCTACCGATCCTCAAAGCTTAATTAGCCGACGCAATCTTCTCGGAAATGGCCTTGGTTCCACTCCTCCGATGGGGTAATGAGTACTTTTTATTCATTTAATATTATTACATTTAAGTATTTAATTTCAAGCACAGAGTTTTCAATTATATTCCTGGTTTGTTTTCTTGCTGATTCTATACTTTAAATGTTTCAGATGGAGTAGTTGGAATTATTTCAACTGTAAGATTGATGAAGCAACAATCAAACAAACAGGCATGCAATGCAACCACCTCTTTTTTTTATTATTTCTTTTCTTGCTCGGTTTTCTTTTCAATGTTCTAATAATATTAATGGAAAAAAAAAATAAAATACAAGAACTTGTATTGTATTCCCTGTCATAAATTTTTGAGTGGTCTTTATTTTTTCAGCTGATGCTCTCGTCTCGACCGGTCTTGCTAAGCTCGGATATAAGTATGTCAACATCGGTAAATTTCTGTCTCGATCCTATTTTCACCATCATTTAAGTATGTAATTAAATATATGAATTTATGTCAATGTTGGACAACTTTCTGACGGAGAATCGCATAACCTGACTCTTAGATGATTGCTGGGCCGAAAGTTCTCGAGATGACAAGGTTCATTTATTTATTTATTTTTACTTCTCTGGTAAACTATTGATTGAGTGTACATTTGATTTTTATTATTTATAAATATATACCTGATGCAAAATTGAAATTGCAGGGTGCTCTAGTGCCTAAGAGAACCACATTTCCTTCCGGTATTAAAGTTTTGGCTGACTATGTTCATAGCAAGGGACTTAAATTGGGAATATACTCTGATGCTGGGTAATTTCATTTAAATTTTTTTTTAAACGAATATATAAACATTTAATAGTTATTATCGCTCATGCACACGGTTCGTTTTGGTTGCAGTTTTTACACCTGTAGCAAAGAACAGCCCGGTTCACTCGGGCACGAGGAACAAGACGCCCAAACCTTTGCTTCTTGGGTACCTAAATCATTAATCATTCTTTAATTTCTTTAATTTGTGGTTCTTTTAAAAAAAATTATTGGTAATACATTAATATTAATTATTTGGGGTGCATGCAGGGGATTGATTTTTTGAAGTACGACAACTGTAACAATGATGGATCGAGGCCAACACTTCGATACCCTGTGATGACGAGAGCTTTGATGAAAACCAAGCGGCCAATCTTCTTCAATCTATGTGAATGGTGATTTCTTTTTTTTTTCTTTTTTTTGTTCAAGCAACTACTACTTATTTGATTCTCTTTTGTTTCTGTCAATTTTGATCGTGTTTTTTTCTTTTATTCTTCGGGGGCAGGGGAGATATGCACCCGGCCTTGTGGGGTTATACGGTTGGAAATAGCTGGAGAACCACAAACGATATTTCCGATACATGGGAAAGGTACCTATACATATATACATATACACATATACATATGTAATATCATATTTTTAATTTTAGTTAACTAATAAGAATTTTGCTGCAGCATGGTCTCAAGAGCAGATCAGAATGAGGTTTATGCAGATTTTGCTAGGCCTGGTGGATGGAATGGTTCGTACATTTATGTATATATTCGTCTTGAATTACATTTTACGGGCTTATGTATTCAATTATTTAGATATAAAATGGTTGGTATATTTGGACAGATCCTGATATGCTTGAGGTTGGAAATGGAGGGATGACCAAAAACGAATACATCGTTCACTTCAGTATTTGGGCTATTTCAAAGGTCAGTATATCTTCGGTTATAATAACGATTCCTATTTCATGGTTTTTAGACTATAAATAACTTCTTTTTTCTTGTTGCTTCCTTTGTAATTACATATATATAATCAGTCTCCACTCGTAATCGGCTGCGATGTGAGAAATATAAGTAAAGAAACAATGGAAATTATAGCTAACAAGGAGGTGATCGCCGTTAACCAAGGTAAACCCCATATATCAGATGTACAAATATATATATATATATATCATCAATTCGTCTGACTCATTTTTTTCGTATTCAAATTTCGCTCTAGTAATTTTAATTGTTGATGAATATGTGGTGCAGACAAGCTAGGTGTTCAGGCTAAAAAGGTCAGGATGGAAGGTGATTGGGAGGTAACTAATAAATCCTTGTGATTAGTTTTGTATAAAACACTCGTATACAGTGAGGAAGCCAGCATAGGGTCGGGGGCCATAGCCCCCCCAACATTTCTCAAATCCCTAGTATTCTATATATGTGTGGGTTTTGGTGGTAGGTGTGGGCAGGGCCACTTACGCACGACAGAATAGCGGTATTGCTCCTGAACCGTGGAGCGTGGCTCACCTCAATTACCGCTCACTGGGAAGATATAGGCATCGCTCCGGCGACTACTTTTAAAGCAAGAGATCTTTGGAAGGTACACTTTATTTATTTTTTTTTTTTTTTAATTTCTGCAAAAATAAAAATATATTCATATATAATTTATTTTGATGTTATTTTGGTTGGCAGCACAAGACCCTGAAGCCAAGATTTACTGGGAATTTGACAGACTCTGTTGAAGCACATGCATGCAAGATGTTTATACTGTCACCAGTTTATTGATGCCATGCATGAAAGTTTATATGTATGCTGTAATAACTGATTAATGATCTCGATTTTCTAATGAAACGACGCTGCTTTGATATATTGCATACTTTTCTCCTCTAGCTAATTACAAAAATATATATGCACTTAATTTTATACATTCAAAAAAACATACTTTTCGAAGTGATTTACTCGTAATTTTCCTCAAGTTTCTTCTTAATGCCCCTTGAATATCTTTCTGCATTACGCGGTGGGAGGTGGAATCTTGCTGAGAGAGGTTTCGCTTCCCTCGTTTTTCTGTTAAACCCTCGGAAACATACGTATCCTGTTTTTGTTTTTTTTTTTTTGGTGAAACAATAATCAAACATGGTTTTAAGTTTGCAAAATATAATTTATTTTAATGTTCCTTACCCTTCCAAAAGCATTTCTGAACTTCGTGCGTTTTCATCCCTGCAATTACACGAAAACAGAACACTCAAATAAATATATTAAACTTGAAATTACTGATCTTGGGGTAATAATATGGTATTTCAATTTCGATTTCGACCTCTGCATACTGCTGAAATGTTGTTTCCACAATACAAAGTTCTGCGCGGAAGATGCCGTAAAGATTCCGTCGGAACTTTTATCGGAACTTGGCTAGACTCATCGTCAGCAAACACCTGCTCATAAAAAAGACTTTATCTATATTTTAAAACAGATGTTCTATTTCTGCCTAATCAGCATTATTATTATTATTATTTTTCTTTTTTGCAATTGAAAAGCATAGTCACCTCATTAGCTTGAAAATACGTTCCATTAAGCGGGAATATTCCTCTCACTCCTGTTCGGACAGGTATCTGAAACATATATTCTCGTACTTTTCAATCCAATCATTTAATGTTTTTTTTTATAAACATTTTCGTGATTTGTCTTACCAGAAGTGTGCCATTTACTGTATCTTCTTCCGAATTACATTCATCCGTATCGACATTTTCTGAGTAGTCGTGTAGTAGATTGTATTAGGACAAGTAAGTATAGTATTATGAGTACAAATACTTGCAGCCTTTTTAATAAATTCTTTTTACATATTGAATTTGTGTACCTCGAGTCCATACAGCGAGTAGATACGGGCACGAGTCATTAGATTCTCTTTTGTCTAGCTGCAGAAATATCAAACACTTATGATTTAGCTTATCTTATAAAAGAAAATACCAAATAAATTAATCACAGTATATTTAGTGAAGCAACTACCCCTGCCAAAACATGGTGCAAATCCGGAAGCACGAAGCTGCAATTAACAATCACAAATCATATTAGATATTTATACAACAGTATAAAATTAAAGATAATCACCGAGTTTATATAAAAAAAATTAAAAAAATAAAAAAGAATTGTAATTAATTACAACGTACACTTGATGCTCCGTCCTTAAATGGGTTCTATTCTTGAATTTAGGCATTGGGATGGAAGAAGTTTCCAATGTACGAAGCATCAAAGCTTTCGACATTTGGCCGTGTTCTTCTTCGAGTGGAATATTCCTTTCATTGATGAACTTATGTACATTCTCCCTCAATTTCTCCTCGTCGATTCTAATTTCGGGTATTGCATGATTAATAAGACCAAAATCCTCGATATCACATTCAACCATTTGTAGACACCTTGAAGGTTCAGTTTCGACGACGCATTTGGAGGTTGTGCAGCTTCCTTCTAGAAGGGGAATATTCAGCGATTCCATTGGATGGTCGGAATGTACATCGTTTTCTTCTTGTACACCCGGGAGTGCAAGCTGAGAACTGCACCCATAATTATATTTCCACTCAATAAAATCAATTTATGATTATGATATTTTATTTTATCGACTTGTGCAAATGGCTGAATTACTAGGCAAATGGGGTTCGGGTTGGGTTCGAACCTTGCTAGAGCACTCACGAAGTATTTGCAGTCTGCTCTCAAAGGGCATGCATTACAATTCGGGTTTCTCTTTGTACAAAATACCTGTTACGCATATGTATAGTCAAAGTAAGACAACTTATTACTAAGTTTTTTTGTGAATTAAAAGAATAGTAAAACAAAAATACCTTCCCCAAAGTGATCATATGGCAATGTAGTTCATACCTGCACCATGCATTATTTTACATTTTAATACAGGAACTCATGATAAATTATGTCATGTATAAATTTATTTATTTATTGTTGATCTTAAAAAGTGAGAATCGAGCAACAAGGTGAAAAGAAATACGGAATTGCATTTTTCTTACAGTGTCGACGGATCATGTTTACAAAGGCGGGGCCAGAGATATATCTGTATAGAGTCCACCTTCGGGTACCTATACTAATAATGCTAATTAATATCAAGTAAAATACTGCAAATTTATATTTTGTTTATTGTATTTTAAAAGCTATATAGTTTAAATTTGTCACTCTTTCAAGAGGTGGAACTCAAGTCCTTCTGGAAGCGGTTGAAGTGGGACCCATCCGAGACGTACAGCTACTCGTCCAGCATTCCTATCAATCTACTCAACAAAAAAAAATGATATTTTCTTGTTTTTAACTAAATTAAAAAAAATTAAAAAAAAAAAAAAAAAAAAAAAAAAACGTGCGTAATATATGTAATAATGATAATTTCGAGAAATACTTACGGGGAATGCCTTATGTAAAAGTGTCAACAAGCGTATGCACTCCACACTCTTCAGTCCAAGGCCAGGTATGCTCAACAGGTAATCTCTACACCATAATCGAGACTTTTATATACTTGCATGCATCTAATTTGCTTTAATACTATTTATGCTAATAATATTATACTTTTCCAATTGAAATAAATACAATTTTCTTGATTATGATTATAATAGAACAAATGTAATGAACTGGCTAATTACTTTGCTTTGTCGGGTGGAACATCTCTTATCCATTCCAAATTAACGCTCCCAAGATCCTCCGATAAAATGTTGAGACAATTCTGCAACATAAATTTTAATCATAATTTAAATCATAATTATCAGTTATAATATAGGAAATTAAACCTTTATTCTTTCAGCCAAATGATTGCTCATCCCTCTGTTCTTTATGGCTTTAGCTATTTCGTCGAGCTCCGCTGTTCTAACAGCGTCCCAATCCAAAGCATTTGATGACGTGTCGTGTGCTGTAATGTCGTCTTTAGAATAATATTTCCTTAAATTATCCCAATCGATAGCTTCTTCTTCCTTTTTAATTCTTTTTCTTCTAAAACATTTATTTTCTGTCCCCATCTTGAATTTAGATTTAGGCCCTAATACAGTTTTATCATTCAAAGATCCAATGCAATTTTCGACTCCAGAATTTACTCCGTGTGGATATTTAGCAGCAAGTGATATAAACGCAGAGCTGCATGCATGCACGAATTGTTCAATGAAACGAATAGAATAAAAAAAAAAAAAAACATTGTTATATAAATACTTATAATATATCTTCGTTTTTTACAATGAATAGGTTATATACCTTGAAAGAGTGTCGCTGACATTCTGCGTAAGGTATGCTCCACCGATAGAATCAATCACCGAACCTTTCCATTGCGAAAATTTCCTTTCACCTGCAAAATTAATATTGCAAACTAAATAAAATTTAAATAAATAAATGGATCCGAGCTTAAAATAAATTAAAGTACCTTGGATAAGGTGCATGCTGGAGATGAATGATTTTACACGCTCGTTCATCAATTCTCTCTCCTTATCCCACCACTCTCTCTCCTCTTCATCTACATCTTGATCTTCAATGTTTTCGGAATCTCGTTTCTCCATCAAAATTGTCCATTCTTTCAATGTCCTTTCATCAAGTTCTACTTTTGCTATTTCTTGCGTTTTCACATTTACTATTTTGTCCTTGCAAGGAACTATCATCATTCCTTCCTTTGTATGCTCTGTTTTCGCAAGGACTAAATTGCCCTTCTTTTTCGTAGCTCTTTTCTTCGCTCCTGCATGCATGCACAATTATGTGAACTACATATACATAACATAAACTTCACTAATATTCACATTTAGGTATGAATCACTATATTATATATATACCTTGTCTGAGTAAACTCGGCCAGATTATTTTCTTTCGAACATGGTACTTATCGTTTTTCCTCCTGTGATAAACTATGATCTCCTCATCATCATGCATATGTTCATGACCTTTACTCGTAAATTGTTGATGAATTTCGAGAAATGGGTTGGTTTTCTTTTGATGAATCTCTCGTTTTTTGCGCTTTGTAGCTACAATATCAGGGGTCGGGGGTGCAAGAACTTCCCATGGATTGACATCAGAATATACTATAGGTACAGAATACCAAATTCGACTTGTCGATTTAATCTTTTCTATCAGTTTTTCGTTAGTTTTTCGGACCGATCTGCTTCTTTTTTTTGTACTCATCCAACATGATGGCAAACTTAAAGCAGCATTAGCAGGAACAAGAGGTTGGGTACAAAAGTTAATTTGACATTTTTCGTCACTTCCGAAGCATGAAGTTCCATCATAGCTTGTTTCATCCTCTAGAAGAAGCTTTGCTAAAAAATTGTAACATTCATTTTGTTACTAAGTTAATAATATTATTTTCTTTTTTGCTTCTCTCTCTCTCTCTCTCTCTCTCTTTTTTTTTTTTTTTTATAGTATTGTTAGTCAACATAAAGTAAACAATAAAATAATTCTTGAAAGAAAAAACAAATAATAAAACACTAAAAATAGGAAATTATTATGAAATTATACTACACAGAGAGAGGAAGAACAAATTAGACCATGCAAGAACAGTAGTGAGTCCAACCACACTACCACAATATTTACTGAATTAAATTTCTCTAAATGCAATTTTAATTATGGAAAATGTGTGATTTTATAATTAACAGAAAATAAATAAATAAATATTAGAAAATGAAATTTAATTTAATTTATGGATGTGACCAACCAATTGCAGTGTCATCCTTGCATTTGCGATGCCTATACCCTGCAGATACACAAGGAGGAAGTCCTCTGTTTTCTTAGGCAGGGACAGAAGTAACGAAGAAAACAGAAAAAAAAAAAAAAAAAAAAAAAAAGTAGAAGTAATGAATTGTTCTTACTGTATGAGAAATGAGGGGCGGCGGCGGCAGAATCAAGCTTTACTGGGGTTTCAATTAAACCCACACCACCTTCATTGTCCGAATGAATTTCCATTTTACAAAATAAAAATTGCAAAAAGGAAAATTAGAAAACATGCATGCATGAGAAGAAAACAAGAGAGCAGATATATAGATATGAACTCTGCAGCGAAGGAAATATAGATGAAAGCTTTAATTCAGATGATCAGAAAAGAAAGTGGAGTTATATATATGTATAGGGAATTGGAATTAATCACAGAAACTGATGCAAAGCAGTAGCAAATAGCAATGATGGTTATTAATTATATTACATTACACCACCTTTCCCATGCATGCACTTCCTTGTACCAACACGTCATCAGCCCTCTAGCTAGTAGCTACAACCTATATTATATTATATTATATTATATTCATTACCTACATACATACATACACCCATTTAATTTATTCACCTTAATTATCACCATTCTAATCAATTCAATATAATATCGATGACCAATGAATGATATAGCACTCTAGTCTAAATGTGATTTTCCTGTCCCACATTTTGAGGGAAAACGCCCGAAAAATCCTTTCAATACACAGCATAATAGAGTTCATATTTATTTAATAATTGACTTTTGTAAAGAAATTCTAAACGAGTATACTTGGGTATTTGAGAAAGAAAGCCCGTTCGCTCTTTAGAGATTATCATCGGCAAAAAAGCATTGAACCTGGTTGCTAACACCGTACCCTTAAGAGAAATAGTGTTTTCCCGTGTTCTATCTTTCATTATCCGAGCGTGGAAATAACTGGAATTCCGATCGATCACCGTCTTCAGCCCATTTAACCCTTGCCTTGCTAGTTAAAAGCTATTGATAATAAAATCTTCCTTTCCGGGGCTGCACACAGTTGAAAACAATAAGAAGCGGGCAATGATCGGATTCGAGTCTCGACAAGTGTAAAACTTTGAATGACCACACGGCAGTGGCTTCAGCGTTCATCAATACTCTATCGATTCTCTGCCATGTACAGTTTCTTCCCTCTTGATTATTGCTCCAAGTAAATGATCAATTACCTTCGTATCCTGCGTCTGATAGCCTAGCTTCAAGGAAGAACTCATTAAGTTCCTTATACCTCGAAGATTACAAAAGCCTATTGATCTACTATATATTCACCTTCAATATGTCATCTCCACAAAAAATTCATGCAATGTATGAGACATTGGATTTCGGTGATCGGTGTGTCCTTCTTGGTTCAAGTTCAGTACCACAAATTGAGGAAATTAAATTTGTTCTTTCTCATCATTTCAGCCATTTTTTCTAGGCATGGTTAATACTTGGCTTAAAATTTTGAAATTATATTCTTCTGAAACTTTAGGAATACTTTTTTTTTGGCCAAATAAATTTTATTCCATAACAACGCATTACAAGAGGGCCTTGTTAAAAACCTTGTGAGCCTACGGAAGGAAAAGAGTACCCCTATAAGAAGGAATAAAATCGAGATCGATCAATCGCAAGAATGCTACAACCCTCCAACAGTGAGAGAAATTATGCCTACAAATATAAAAGGAAAATCTTATCTAAACTCACAACTACGGAATAAAAATACTCCATGAAAATCTCTACGGACGAAACTCCTTGCACCGAAAAACGTCCAAGCCGAATGGGGAAGATCCTCAACCCTAAAAAAATCTTTCGAGCTTGCATGCATGTACGCCTGTTAAGTGTATATTTTGGATTTTATTTGGAACCCTATGTGGGATTTATGAACCCAATTCTATGATTTTATGCAAGTTTTAATTCCGGATTATTTCTTCTTCTTGTTTTATTAAGTTCATGAAACTGGCCACTTTATGCGCTTTTATGTTATTGTTAATCGCATGAATCGGAAGATCGGGTTAATAATTAGAACTGTGGTAGAAGAGCCTTTGTGGTATTAACATAGGAATATAGTTAATCCCTTAGGTAGCCATTATTGAGATTTGTGCTTAATGTTGTGTTCTAGAATTAATTGCATAGGAATATAGTAATTGAATCTAGAGTATTAGAATCGTAATACACGCGGAAGCGGGTTATGATTATTTTAGCATCTCAGGTTAATAATCCGGGTTAATTGCTTGCATAATTGAAGGAATCGGGGGAATAATAATCACATAGGGGGAAGAATAAAATCCTAGGCTTGTCTACTTTGATTAATCTTCGTATTTAAATTGCTTTCTTATTTTTATCTATTTAATTGCTTTAGTTTAGTTTAGTTTAGTTTATTAATCATCTTTCGACTGTGTAGGGTGGGCTTGATAATAATTGGTAGATTTTAGCGTCTAGGATTAGATAATTAAATATTCCCTGTGGGTTCGATGTCCGGACTTTTAGTCCACTATATTACTTGTACGATACGTGCACTTGCGTGTAGGTTTTCGACCAACAAGTTTTTGGCGCCGTTGCCGGGGAATATTTTAATTATTTATTTTATTCTAGCTCTAGATTTGAACAATTTTCACGATTCACCCAAATTAATTTTTATTTTTATTTTTCGTTTTAATTTTTTTTAATATTTTTCTCTTTGGTTACATGTCAGGTTACAATTGTCGCGCAACTCAAACGGGATATGAATGGCTTCCGTCTGACGAATACCTCCAAAATACCTATGATATGCCGTCACTTTGTTCAATATGTGGTGGAGATCATTACGCTAACCAATGTTGGTATGCACCGAAGGCGAATAATTTCATAGATAATACCAACAGAGGTTACTGGAACACATACACCAACACGTACGAGCAGAGCAATTCAAGCCAAGATTTCCACAATTTTCAACATCGTGAGCTGCAATTTGATGATTTTCAAACCTATTATGCAAAGCCACGAGAACCCACTATTGAGGAGTGTTATAGGAAATCCATCCTTGAAGATTTTATGAAATCCACTCAAGCATCTATCCGAAGACTTGAAATAATGTTGGAAGAGATGAAGCTCAAGAGGTCTCTTGAAAATATTTCAGACAATATCGAGAATGGTTGCAACAAAGAAAATTCGTCTGAAACTTGTGATGAGAAAAATCCTTTAGACCTAGAAAATAGTGTCGATGAGAGGGAAAAAGAAATTACGAAGACACTTGAAGATGATGAATCAGACAATGAAATCGAGCTCAACTCCAAAGATGTCTCGGAACAAGAGAAGAAGGAGATGGATGTGGTTAATGCAAATATTCAAATTGATGATCTTATTGTTATTCCTGACGTGGCTTTGAAGGCATCAATAGAGGTTGATAAGAAGGCGAATGTGTTTGAAGTGGAGGTTATACGCGGACGTGAGGTTTTTGTTTACCGATTTAAGGGAGCGGGTGATGAAGATCCCTACTTGGCTTCGTACCGATTGATTACAACTAAGAAAGACTACAAGCTAAGGTGGACCCTGACATATTGCAATCCTATCCCTGTATCGGTTGCAATTGAAGTGACAAAGCTCATGGATGGATGCGCAATCTACAAGGCTTTGGATTGGACATAACAATTTCAAGAAGCAAAGTCCGGCTGAAGACTTAAAATTTAGCGCTTCTCGGGAGGCAACCCGAGCTTTATTGTTTTTCGTAGTTTTCTTTGATTTTTCGTTTCGTTTTTATTTTCATAGGCATGCATTCTAATTAATCTATTTGAATTTTAATTTTCAGGGTCGAAAACATGGTCAGGGGGTCCAGACGGCCGTCCGAAATTGCAAGCAAAATCTCAGACGGCCGTCTGGGAAACAGAAAGCCCCAAACGGCATCATTGCCTGTGGGACGGCCGTCCGAAAATAAGGCACAAACATGGGACGGCCGTCCCGTGAACAGTGGGGAGACAGAGATGTCGGACGGCCGTCCGAAAATCAGCACAAAAACCGGGACGGCCGTCCGACGATTTTTAGAGCGTTTTAACTTTAAAAAATTAGATTTTTTCCCCCATTATTTCCTAAACCCTCCTCTTTCCTTCTCTCAAACTCCCACACACAAATGGAAGCTAGAGAATCGAACCAAATTCTCCAAAATCTACTCTTTCAAGGCACGCCCACAAGGTGTTCGACAAATTGCCTCAACCAAATTTGGAGGTCGATTCTCATCCAATTTTTACCGGCACCCATTCTTGAGCCCGTACCCGAGATTTCCGATGAGGACGAGCGTGAGAGAGCGAGAGAGGAGCACCCCGATCACACCGACTCCGAATAAATCAGGTGTTTTCTATCCTTAAAACTTTGTGCTAATTTCGTTGAGGGCAACGAAAATTTTAAGTTTGGGGGTGAAAAACATGTTTTTGTGCTTATTTGTTTTAGTTTGCATGCATTAGGTTTTATTCGTTTTTATTGTTTTTCTCGTTTTTCCGGAATATATAAAAAAAAAAAAAAAAAATTGCTTGAGTCGAATGCATCAATGATTTATGATGATGAGAGATGATCAATGTTTGATGATGAAATTGCTTGTTTTATGTGATAAGTATTTGATGTTTGTTTAGCTTTCGATTCAACGGGACTTAGAAGCGAATTATTGCTAGGAATCACATTTTGTGCATTGCTTTTGTTGAATGTTTTGTATTTTCAATTTGGAATTAATTTGTGCTAGATCATGCTATGTTCGGTTTTAAGACTCACCTTAGGAAATTTATGGTACGAAGTATTGAGTAGTAAGTGATTTGGGATATGATTTGGGCCTTCTTTGAACCGTTTGAGCCTTTCAAGCTGACCTTTTTATCGAAATTCCTTAGAACCTTGATTTGAGCCTTGGAGAAAAGGTGTTCTTTCTTTTAGCCATGTGTATAAGGTAGAATAGGTGGAGATTCTTGAAAATTACCCCTTGGAGTTCAGTCGAAATTTTTTATAAGGTCCTTCTTCTTCTTCGAAAAAAAAAAAAGAGAAAAAAAAATTAAAAGAAGACAAATATATATATGCTTCTATAAAAAAAAAAAAAAAAAAGAAAGAAAGAGAAGAAGAAGAGACTAGAAGGGAGAAATAAGGACTAGTTGTTGAATTTTTTTTGAAAACTCGATCCATTGTCTCAAAAGCAAAAGTGGAGACTTTTGAACTTTTGAGAATCGAGTTTATTAAAGTCCGTAGAGGTGAATTCATTGTTTCAAACGCCTATCTTTCAAATTTTGGCGTAATCACCTAAATTCAAGAATAATAGCCACATATACCCATATTTCCTACCTCAAACCAAAGAGCCTAACAATTGAAAGCCACAAAGCCCCAATGATCCCAATAGCTTAATGTTCGATATTAGTAGAGTAGAATAATTTGGTGAGTATTTGGAGTCAAGCATATGCATGTAAGTATAAATTCTTTCTATCTTTAATTTGCAAATATTGGATGCTTGAAGCAATTGTATGAATTGTGGTTTTTGGTAATGGTGAGTGACTAAGTGTTGTTGAATTTTGAGCTTGCG